AACCCTCATACAAAAATACGCAAATAATATGTGTAGAAAAGTCTGCGGTGTTTCACCCAAACACTTTCTCAGATATGAACTTAGTGTTATTGTTATTTCTGTAGGGTTAACATGCACAGAACAAAATTTTGTGACTAAGGCTGGTGCCCAGCGAGCTGCAGCTGAACATGGTCTCATCGTAGTGGCTCCTGATACCAGTCCTCGTAAGTCGTATATTTTTTCTTAAAATTTCCTCTAATAAAAGAGCATCTGAATTGTAAACCAGCATTTGCATGTATTGCATATTGAATCATTAAATTATGATCTGATTTGACTGTATATCCATTCTTTCGGTATTTTCATGAACACATTCACCACTACTGTATTCAACTGTGATAGCACCCTGTGATCTCAACTCAGAAAATTTTGATTTTTACAGGATCCAATATAAATTGTTTTCACTATGTGACATGTTTGGAGGCATATTACTTGTTTCAGCAAAAGGATTATAAAAATTATAAAAAAAAAAATTATTTTAATATTATTTACAATGTTATCTCAGTTGAATATTTTCATTTGTATACAAATTCTCAATGCTCAAAACAATTTCTGCCATGGTGATTTGTACCCATCATTTGATCTGATAGGTCAAGTCTGTTATTAACCATTCAGAATGCTGTGTCATACTGATGCAATTTTTTTAAATTTTGGAACAGTAAAACGTCTAAAAAGACACAAGTTTTTATGACTGTAAAGTTACAGCATTTTGTGAACAAGTGAGCACTTTAGTGGATACATGCCATATATAAAAATGGTACAAAAGTGGGGGATGGGTGCTTTACCTTGATATAGGTGCTAACATGGCCAAATACAGTAATAGACCATATACTGCAATTAACCTATGGTCAAAAATAAACTAGATATGTAATCATGTATAATAATGAAGAAATTATTACTATATTGATATTAGGTGGATGTGGTATTGAAGGAGAAGATGACAGTTATGATTTTGGTAGTGGTGCTGGTTTTTATGTTGATTCTACTGAAGATAAATGGAAAAGTAATTACAGAATGTATTCATATGTCACCAAAGAAGTAAGTTGTATGTAAGACAAGACATGAAAAATGAAATAATTTATATTAAAGAATATGTTCATTTATATGCATTTATACAGTTATCTTGTGTAACAGCAATGGAAACACATATTGACCTGTGTCAGCATGAAGAAGCGTGCAGGTACATGTAGCTAGGCATTCAGAGCAGTATGTTATATATCTCAAAGGGAAAATAGCTATGGACTTCAAACTTGGCACAACAGTTTTAGGGACAAAAGTTAAAACATCACAGCATGTGTTATTGTGATAGCCAATGCTGCAAAGTATATCAAATTGGCTCAAATGTGATTCGAAGTCCCTGCCACATTTTGAGTTCAAAGGTCATCATCACTGTAAGAGTTTATGTACCGTTAAAATCCTATTATAAACCGCATACCTAATAGTAACCGCACCCCCCCCCCCCCCCGATTTCGGCTTCAGTGTTAAAGAGTTCTCAACAAAAATTGAGAACATGAAAAGTACCTATTACTAACGGCACCCCCAATTCAACAAGACTGTAACTGACTTTGTTTCAACCAGCTGGTACATTGTTCTTAATCCTATTCATTTGTTTTGACACGTGCCTACAAATATTCACACCTTTTTATT